GCATAAGAACTCTATAGAAAAGTAGAGTGGATATAAAGAGAGTGACGCCAATTAGCCGGAAGTCGCCATTGTATGTCCTACCTCTATGACGCAACTATGACGCAATTCCTCGTCTTAACCTTTTCTTTCTTTAACGTTGTCTTCTTTCTAACTAATATTAAGGACATTTAATGGCGGAGCCAATCAGCATTAGGCACATGCATTGGTGTCACTCTCTTTATACCCAATAGAGTCACTAGATTTCTAAAGTATCGCAAATTCGCATCCATTTTGTCGCAAAACGCGGCCATTTCGAATTTATGCATTTGTATTACGTGCTTTATTTGGGAAAATGAAGCTGTCAAGTATGTAAATCAATATTTTTTAGTTTATTTATGAACAAAAAAATATATACAAATGCTTAATTTATGTCTTCTTTAGTTTAATACGGGTTTATTTGTTGTAGAAATTTAGTGTATGAAAGTACACGAAGGGATATGTAAGTACAGTTTAAAAGATGAACCACCCAACCACCATACTTGGAATATAGGCGATTTTTTGCGTACTTCTGGTATAGCAACCAAAAGCAACCGCGGTTGGGGCTATCTTTGTCTTCTGAAAACGAAGACAGCCTTAACCGCGGTTGCTTTTAGTTGCTATACCAGAAGCACGCCAAAATTCGCCTCATGTGTACTTCGGCCCTTTTGTCGCAACATTTCAGGGTATCGATCATGAAACTTTATTCCTAAGATGGAAAATGAAAAGTGAAAATTTTTACCATTATAAAAGTTAATGGAGAAATTTTTCACTTTTCACTTTTCACCCTAGGGAAAAAAGTTTCCATGATTGATACCCTGAAATCAATTGCGGTACTTTAGAAATCTAGTGACTTTATATACCCTATAGAAAAGTTAACGCTATCACCATCTTTTGTGAAGACGTAAAAATAGCAACTAAAACCGTCATCCAGTGATCAGTCAACAGCATGAATTACTACTTTCACGTTATTACCATCGGCGAAATGCTATTAAATAAAAAATTGTTACTCCGCATGGGTAAATAAAATTATTAAGGATGCTTATCCCCAGAGAACATGCATACCTGAAAAACATCCAAAAGACATCTTGAACTGAAGACGTCTTTAAGACTTTTCCAAAAGATGCCTTTTAGACGTCTTTCAAACATTTTCGAAAGACGTCAAAAAATTGTTCAAGTTTTGGAGTACATATGTGTAGCAATTTACATTACCGACTGGAAATTTTATTTAATAATATTATTAAATAAATTATTAAATAAAATTTCTGTTCATATCTGAACATCCTTAAATGCAATAAAAAATTCATTTATAATAAGCTTTTATTGGGAATAATGAGGAAAATATGAAAATATGTCAGAAATTAAATTTGAAACTTATTGATTCATTAATTTTTATTTCGCCAACTATTTGAGCCACGCAGTTGTTCGAATCTGTGTGAATTCTACAGGGTGATCCGAAATTCGCGAATTTGAAGTACAGGACATGATACTTTATGCTTAAAGCAAACAACTTTTTCCTTTAGCATAAAGTATCATGTCCTGTACTCCGAATTCGCGAATTTCAAATCACCCTGTATAGTAACTACTGAACACTCATTTCTTAATCAATGTACTCGTTAAATACATTTATCTTTGCTTCTATTATACATAATCAATGTTAATATATAACTCTATGTAAAAAATATGATATATAAATACCGTTTACATACAGTATAACAATAAATTTACTTTATATTATAATATAAATTATAATATGCCTGATCTTATATACTATATATCCGTCATTGCCGCGTTAATACTTTATTTAGACATTCCGTATAATAGTATGTTACATCCCTGTACTTTGTCTCTGTGTTCCACTACAATATTTGTAATCCGCTGTGTGATTAATGACAATTGACTGTCTTCTCAGGACAACATCTTCACATTAGAAAATATTTCTTTGTTCTGTCGGAAGAACAGAAAAATCTAAAAAAGGAAGAACCTAAAAAAAAGAACCTTTTTTTTTTACTTTGATTAATCTATGTCGATCAAGCACATTACAAATATTATTTACAGAAACAAAGAACAAGGAGAGGACAATATTATTAACAATACTTTATGAGAATTTACATAAAAAAAGTATTACAATTTATGACTTTTATCCTTGTACATTAATATATTAAGTCAACAAGATCATTAAAACATGATTCTTGATATCCGACATAAAAAATTTTTTATTATAATACACAAAGCATTCTCTTTTTTATTTCTGATTAACAATTAGTAAAAATCTGAACTTAATGTGAAAATGAATATTAGAACATCACGATTGTTTTATGTCCATTGTATCAAGAAATATAGTTGTGTATGATGTATTATATGTATATATGCGTGCGTGTATACAGGGTGGAGTATTTTAATCGCTCCAAGCGAATATCTCAGAAACTAAGAAAGATATAAGAAAAAATTTTATATAAAAGTTGAAGGTTTTCTTGGAAGAAAGAACGTGAAAATAAACAGATTTTGTATATGGAACATTACCAGGGTCAAGTCAAGGTCAACATGAATTTTTTAAATAGGAACCACTATTTTTTATTGCACATTCTTGTAGCTGAAATCGAAACGTTTTTAAAACATTATAATAAAGTATTTTTTCATTAAGCACTTTTCAAGTTATAAAACTTGACAATTACTGTACTATTAACATTAGCGTTATCCAAGGTGTATATGTGGAGGTTACTCAGTCGAATTTAATCTGTTGTGTGTGCATATGTGCATACGTGCGTACGTGCATGTGTCGGAGAAAGGAAGGGGATTCAAATGTATACATACCCTGTTCTTGTTTCTATTCATACTGCGATATTGTAACTTCCAAGCCTCATAATTCGAAAGTACTTAATGAAAAAACATTTTGTTATAGTGTTTTTGAAGCCCTAGATAAGCTATAAGAATATGCAATAAAAAGTGAGGGTTTCCATTTTTTAAAATCGATATTACCTTGATCTGACCTTGGCCACCCAAGGTCACAATAATACTGCTATCTAATGTGTCCCTTAAAACCCTAAAACTTCTATCTGAAATATTTTTTGGTAAAAGGGATAAGAAAAGATATTTGGGGTGGAACATTAAAATAACTCACCCTGTATATACACACGCATGCACTCATGCACGCACGCAGGGTGGTCCACGTAAACTGAAGCTTGAATATTTCACTTATTTTTGATAATACGAAAGTTTCAGATGGAAGTAGAATGACAAGGAGAACGTATTTTGGTCATGTTGGTTTTGTTCTATGTGGAGGCGCTAAAGAAACTTTAAGGTCACTTCCAATTTTTGAAATGAAACAATATGAATTTTATTATATAATATGATTCCTCTCTTTCTCTAATTATTCTACATATAAAAGTATTGCGTTAGAGATATCGAAAAATGAATAGTCTTCGAGTTATTTTATATTCTATTCTGCACGTATTGACATAAAATGTTAAATATTTCGTAAGTTATTAATTTTTTGATAATCGAACTTTTATGCTTTGAATATTATGCTTTATAATCATAAGATACAAAGAAAGTACATAATTGCTAATTTTAAAAATTAAAAAAAATTATCCAAGCTGCATATCTTTTTTAAAGCAAAGCTATATATTTTCTTTACGAGATATTTAATATTTCACGTCAATGTTTGCCAGAATAAAGTATCAAATCTCGTAAATTATATTGATTTTTTGATAGAGCTATCTTAATACTTTTATATGCAGAATAATTAGAGAAATCATATTATGTAAAAAATATATTTTATATATATATAATTTCATTGTTTCTTTAATTTTAGGTAACCTTGACTTGATTTTAAGGACATCTTCTCAAAGTCAATCAGAGTTATCATTTTCTTTCTCTCTTATAACTGAACAACTTTTATCTGAACCATTTTTGTCTTAAACTTAAAAGGATTTTGAGATATTTTACTGAATGGATTAAAATGGACTGTATATGTATAATATTTTATGTATTTACATAGCTAGATATATACAGGGTGTCCCAGAATATTTGGGACAATTTTAAATATAGACAGATCAAACTAAACTGAGTCGAAAAGTCCTCTACTATTTTGCAATTTTCGCAGTAGAGTTAACGTAATATTAATTTTTAAAGATCGCCAAATAAGCATCAATCAAAATCATTGGAGGTTATACCTGTTATTTTCATTTTTGCACTAAGAATTCATTTTTACGTAAAAATGAAAATAAAAAGTACAACCTCCAATAACTTTGATTTTGACAAATATTATCCAGGACATGATCCTGAATAACATTCAAGAGGTTTTAGACCGATCGGACACCTTGCGTAATGCTAATGCTGGCGGTTCTGTAACTTTCAAGCCTTATAACTCGAAAGGTACTTAATGAAAAATAACTTTATTATAGTGTTTTGAAAAGCTCTTGACACCAGCTATTAAATTCTGGCATCAAAAATAGAGTGTTCCATTTAAAAAAATCGATGTAACCTTGACCTTAACGACGCCACCCAAGGTCAAATCAATGATACCTTCTTATGTCCCCGTCTGAACCATACAACTTTTGTTCGAAACGTTTTTCCGTATCTACTATAGTTTTCGAGAAATCGTAATGCATTATTTAAAATGGGACACCGTGTATATGTATGTACATATGTATAATATAGTAAAATACATATAAAATATTGACTGATAAAAAATTACAGCAAGTCTAATAAAAAAATTTTTCTTTAAAACATGCCTTTTGCTTTGTTGCAAATAGAGATGCACCGGAAAATATCCAATATCCAGTATTATCCGGTACTTTGTTTACACACACTATCTGGTCAGATATCATTAAATATCCGGTTGAAATTTTATATTGAAAGTTCACGTCATTGATGCAGAATTTTATTCTTTTCAACTGAACTTCTTTCACAGTTCATTTCTTTTTTCCTTTTGTTTTCACATCTGGGAGATAAAGAAAATTATTATCGCTATTTTTCCCTTGCTTTCCTTTTTTTTAGAATTTTGAGGAATTCGTACAGAATATCCGAAAAAATATTCGGAATCCGACAGGAAAATCATCCTATCGGATATTCAATATCCGGTATCCGGTAATTTTACGATCCATGCATCCCTACTTGCACACCTTGTTTACTCATTCAACAGTATAAAGTTTGAAACTCAATAAATCTGTTTTCACCGAGGTTTTTACTTTTACACTGCATTAGTGTGTTTAACCAGCAGATTAAATAAATTCAATTTTTTTTCTATTTTAATAAGGTGGTGGTTGATGTTGATAGGAATGTTGCGGTGGTTGACTCAAATGCCTCTGTAAGTGAGTCACGAGTTGAGGCGTTGGTTGTTGCCCACCAGCAGCACTTTGTTGCTGCTGTTGCTGCTGTTGTGCAGCCTGCTGCTGCTGAGCTTGTTGCTGCTGCTGCATAGCCAACATCTGTTGCCTCATACGCTGATTTATCGCTTGTTGCTACGTAAAGATAATTAACAACAATATTTCGCAAATTCTTTACAAATATTGCGCTTTTGCAATATATCTTATGATGATGTCATGATGTGATATATGATATCGTAGACCATACCTGTTGGAATTGTTGATTTTGCTGCAAGCTGACATTGGCCGTACCTACACCTGTTACGCCTACCGCACCCGGTTTTCCAGCGGATTGTCGGTACGGAGGAGCAGGTTGGTTCTGAACACCTGCGCCCATTGGTCCCATTGCGTTCATCGTTACATTTGGCGCCTAAATAACAAAATATATTTTAGCATATCATTAAATCTTACAAAATGCAATTATTATGTACTTTCTACAATAAGCTTACATTACTGTAAAAAGTAAGCGATAAAAATGAATAGAATTGAGCTACACTTGAATTATTTATCTTATGCCATTATAATGTTTAAAACATGTACTTAAACACACTTGTAAATATGGCGGCCTTGCAGCACTAGGCTGCATTCTTTGTTGTGGCATATATTCCTGTCCCCTTTGTGGACCCATCATTTGCTGCTGATTAGGGAACATCATACTTTGTTGTTGGTTCAAGATTCCTTGTTGCTGCTGCTGTTGCTGCTGCTGTTGAAGCAACTGTTGCTGCTGCTGCTGCTGCTGTGTTTGCTGCGACGTCTGTTGCTGTTGCTGTTGTTGCTGCTGCATCATTTGTTGTCCGCCATATCCCGTATAATTTTGATTCATACCTATAGAAAAAAATTAATCCAAGTACGCTCAAAAATTATGCAAACATTGATTATTGTATCTAATAAAAGACATTAGCATTTAATGCATTATAATTTTAATATTAGGAAAATTAATCTAAATAATTTAATAAGACTGCTAAAAATAGTAGATCGCTCGAAAGAATTCAAAATAAAATTAAATAACAATAAAATTAAATAATAATTAAGACATTACTTCTTTCTGCTAAACACAATTCTTGACTGATAATATCCTGAGACCTTTTTCTTAATTTGTACCTTGTTGAATTCCAGCATATATTCCTTGTTGCTGTTGTTGCTGCTGCTGCTGCTGTTGCTGTGCTGCAAACATGCCTTGTTGTGGATTTATGCCAGGTGCTCCATGCTGCGCTCTCAATTGTTGCCTGATGAACTGCCTCTGCATTCCTTGGAATGCGCCTGGTCCAGCAACTGGTGTAGCGGTTGGTGGTTGTTGTTGTGAGCCCATGAATTGATTGGATGGTAATCGTAAGCGTAACATATTCGACAAAGCTTGTTTGGACTGATTATTCATCCCTGGTCTCTCATAGCGCGGTCCACCGACCGGTGCAGGTGGTAACTGTTGACTGTATCCATATTGCTGTGCGGGTGTGTGAGTTTGCTGATTACTGTACCATTGCTGTTGGGGTTGTGGAGGTTGCCCAGTAAACATTCCGGGCTGTTGCGCAACAGGAGCTTGTTGATTACCAAATGCCATTTGTTGCAATTGAGATGGTGGTTGCTGTTAATAATAAGAGGAAAGAAGAATAATGTAAAGATATTTCTTTGTTTAGTTTTTGTTTTATAGCTTTTGTAGTATATTATTGCGTGCAATTAAACTTACTTGCATCTGCTGCGATATAGGTGTCGTAGGTGTAGCGGCACCTTTTGCTCGTCTATTATGTCGTTTATTTTTCATGGCTTTCCCTTTACCATTAGTATTTACATTACCAACTCCGGTGCTACCGACACTGCCGCCGACTCGACCTGGTGAATCAATACTCATTGGAGTGTCTGCTTTACCAGGGTCCGATTCTTTCTTGTCTGGCTCCAGATCTTCCGGTGGTAATGGAGGTGGATCTAAATAATGGCTGGCTGGACGAATTTGACTGTGCGTATGATACCGCAACAGTTTATGCGCATTTTGATATGTAAGCGGTTTGCGTTCCAATCGAACAGCTCTAAACCAAGCCCAGGAAAGCGGCGCAGGATTTTTATGACCTTCTAAGAGTTCCCATGCCGATACTCTTTGAGAATCACATACTTGCAATCCCTAATTTTAAGTATAACACATTATACACTTTAAATATGTTAATATTATGGCTGTGTTCCGTTTCATGCATGATGCGCATGATGTATCATTTTATCTTTCTTTAATATTCGGTGAATAACAAGGATAAAATAATACATCACGCGCACCATGCGTGAAACGGGGGGGGGGGGCTTCGCATCTTATATCTTTTTGTAATAATAAAAAGAAATACTTCTATAAGTAGAAAAAAAATCGATCGTACCAAAAGAAACCGAAATGTACCTGTTTTTTATCGATGCTGTCGAATCCGGCGATCTTATTGCCTTTAGTATCAGTCAAACATCCAACAGGTTCACATGTAATAACTTCCATAGTCAACTTCGGTAACGGTAGAAGTTGTCTCACAAAGCGAATGCTCGAAGAATTTCTATCGCCTAGTTCTTTTTTCAATTTTTTCATTAGATTTTGATAGTGTTTTTTATTTTCATCTTTCTCGGACTGCGAATCTGATACTAACGTGGAGTGAATCAGTGTTGCTAGCATATCTATAACGGTTGTAAATAATTCTGCATTATTATTCAAGTCTATAACACCGTAACTGACCAATTGAACTAGTAGAATCGCCCAATCCGTCGTAGCAGTCGTATTTCTTTGTATTGTATCAAACACACCTCCAACGAGACTGAATCTTAACTGCAAAGCGTCTTGTAATACTTCTCTAGTTTTAGGGTCTTCGGAACCAATATGTTTCTCTTCTTTACTGGTATTTAAAAATTGCGAAAGTTGTGAATGTAGAGATGTCAATAAACCTTCTCTTTGATCATCCTGACCTTTCAAGCATGTTAATACAAGTGACAGAAATGGTTGATGATTAAACAATGAAGGCGATTTAGATCTACCTCTCTCGCGCCCTGCTGTTTTCGACCAATTGCCTGATTCTAATACCTGTCCTGCCACTTTTAAAACTCTGCCTTGTACTGCACTCGGCAACTTGGAGACTAATGGAGCAACTAACCATATAGAACCTGACTTTTTGTCAGATTTATTACTTAAGGTATTGTTCAATTGAAAAACATCGATTGCAGCTTTTGCAACTGTGTCCAACCATTGAGAAAGTTCACTGGAGCTTGGCGTGAATTGCTTGTACATAAGCTGTAAATCTAACCAAGACATTCGTAGACTCCATTGTTCCAAATTTTCTAAAATATTCGTAATATGTGTTTTCTGATCGATAAAAGCTTCGGTTGGCGTTTCAGGATAGCAAATCATATGTAATAATTTTTGAGCTTGTCGTGGCGTCAGCATATTATCTAACAGCATGTCTTGATGACAAAGCTCTTCCGGATTTTGTAAGCATCTTTCCAACACCCATTCTTGACTGCAGATCTGACGCAAAACATGATGAGCAAAATCAGAAAATCCCTTGACATTTTCCGTTGTCATGCCGGCGCTACTACTGGATGAAGACATTGCTAGATCAAGGCCAAGATCATCGCCACCTCCTAAAATATCGCTGGTTCCCAAAATATGACTGATTGATAGTTCACCAGGCCCACTACTGCTCACCCCAACTCCGACTCCAACACTGGCCGGGCCACCTCCTTTAGTGGAATGGCTCAAAGGTATATCGACTTTCTTCGGAGGCTGTTTAGCAGCTGTAGCATCCCCCACAACTAATATAGCCTTTAGAACCGCGAGTACCGGTCCTACTCTTATATTATTGTGTGCAGCTGCTAATAAGTGTCTATCGCAACTCAATTTTATGCTGTAACCTCTTGAATTTCCACTTGGAAGTGGATGAGGACTCGTACTGACCGAATATAAAGCCGGCTGCGGACATTCGACGGTTTTGAAGAGTCTCAGTAATAAGTGACAAGTTAAACGTGCACCTGCTTCGACTTCGATATCAATATCTCCGCGACCGTCATTACAAGTTTTCACCAATGATGGTAATGCTATATGCACAACGAAATCTTCTAAAGAGAAACAATGCCTTGCTGTAAATATAATAAGTTATAAACTATTAGATTAATAGGTATCACAATACGTATTTTAATAAATGTAAAACGTTTTTCTGCTTACCAATTAAAATTGATGTGAATATAGCTAAAGAATTGTGTATACTTAAATCTTGTACATCAACTTGATTTAACACGTCGATGTAAAAAGCAGAACTATTGGAAGAGCAACAAAGTGCCATAAGTACTCCCAACCATTCGGCATTGAGAGCATTGCAACAAGCAGTTAATTCTGCGCAAGTTATAGCAATATCGTTTAATTTATCGTTATCAGTTTCACTACAAACTGCAACAATTGCATTACAAACAAAACTATAACGATTGGCTGGTGTCTCATTCAACTGTCTCGCCCATTGCGGTTCAATTTTTCCACCTCTTCGTGGACTAGTGAAGACATCCACCATAAATTGCGAATTATAAACGTGACTTGAAGGCGTTGGCTGCAATGTGCTATAGAGAGCAGCACGAATTTTCGGATATGCATTACTAAACGCTTCTACTCCGTGTGATTTTGTTTTCAAGAGAGAACACGTTGAATATAAGTCATATAAATGCGCTAATACGCATCGTTCGGCAGAACTACAATCACTCGGATTTGATACATGTTTTACTACTTTGCAGAGTAAATCAAATACTGCTGTTGTCTGTTCGGGAGATACTATAACACAATAATTTTTATATATAATATATGTATAAGATCATTAAATTATGTATTAAATAGCATTAATACTTACATAATAAACAACAGTGATATCTCCTTAATACGCCGACTACGTATAAACTTAGGTTTGTAGTATAACTTCGAACTAATTGACTGTTTCTAGCTGTCAATTGTGCCTCCACTTCTGGTAATTCTTTCAGGATTTGTATACAAACGTCAATTAGGCCATATATGTTTAATGCTAGTTCCATTAGATCGAATAGAAAGGCTACATGCTCATGAACTGGTAAATAAGACGAACCAGCTAATGCAAATGTATTCAACATTTCTATTACTTGTGTTGCACATTGCCATGTTACAACGTGTTGATCAAAATAACTTAGATTTTGGAATTTTATAGTAACAGCCTCAAAATTAAATTCACTTCGAGAATGTTTCTTTACTTTGCCTCCTTCAGCAACATCAATACTGAATTTCTTCCCAAATAATTTACACACTTCTTTTGTCATTTTTTTAACAACATGTCTAGCTTCATCTCTGACACGTCCAACACCATAAAGTAATACGTGTCGCTGATTGCAATCATGCTGACTACATGTCTCGTCCTAAGACATATATATATATATATATAATACAATATATAATATAAAAAATATATTTATATAATATATAAGGGGGTATATGTGTCTACCATAGTTGCCCTTAAAAATTAATTTAAATTTCATTTAATAGAAAAATATATTTAAAAAATTACTTGTGGTAGCGGAAAATGAGTGGTGTACAATAAATGTCTGCTATGACTTGATGGCATTTTTGAATCGAGACTTTCATGACCTCCGTGACCAGTCAGTGCATCCTCTTTGGGACTATCCGGTGCATCCATGCTATTTTGCTGATCTTCTTTAATATGTTGCAATATCTTATCTAAATCGTCATCAATTTTACTGTCATCATAATCCATGGTACGTCCATGATCCGATACTTCCAATTTAGTCGGCTTTAAATCTATACCCGGAAAAAGGCTATCTTCATCGATTGGTTCTCTGTTGCTAGGTGTTCCGGGTTTGCTAGCAACTGGACCTAATTAAAATAATTTCATAATTATATAGGCAAATTTGTCAAAATTTTTAGAATATTTTAATCGATATAGAGAATGAATCATTTAGGCCCGATTCCACCAATACAAAATTAACGTTAATCTCAATTCAATTTACTCTATATCTTTTTCTAAGAGTTAAAAAAAAGATAAAGTAGTTATAAAAAGATGAACAGTAAATTAAACCGAGATTAATCTTACTATAGACGAACCGAGTCTTAAGGTTTGTATTTGAAATATCTTTATGACTTACTTTTAATATATGTTATAGCGTCTTTTACGCCAAATAATTACATTAAATATACTTATAACACACCCTTTAATTTTAAAATGTAAATTCACACAATTCTCTCCTTCAATTAAAATTATTTTTTTATAAACTGTGTTAAAATATTTAAATAATAATTTTTACATAAGTATACAAATATATATACCTTGTATAAGGTCACCTCTTGAAATAAGAGTGCACATGTATGCATCATGTGAGAAAACATCATGCCTTATTAATTCTGAGAACAGATGAACTAAGTTTGTAAATTGAGCCTTAGATTGATTCGAAGTATTATCGAGTACCGGTGCGTCCACATCTAAGAATTTCATAAGCAACGGTTGAAAAATTGGAAGCACAGGCGGACTTCCATTACTACATGTGCTGTCTTTATCATCGTTATCATTAGTTTCGCCAGTAGCTTCACTCTGTCTTTTTTCGAGAAGTTTAGCAACCGCCATTGCCCTATGTTCTCCCCAACGTTCAGCACTCACGGCCCATTCACACAGAATTTCGACTACTGCTGAATCCTGTTGTGGATTATATTCCGTTTTTGTGTCACGTTCACTAGAATTATCTTTTGGAGGTGGTGTAAAGATTTTTGCATACAAGGTGTCAAGCGAATTAGAGGCATCCATTTTATCAAAACTGTGCCGGTCAAGAGCATCCAATGCAGCTAATACTTTGGTAGTTGTTGTTCCAGCGCTGCTTTGCTGCCACTTGTCGCACGACCATCTACCTTCCGCTGCCTGAGATCGAGCTCTTATATTTTCTTGTGCAATTCTTAGCTGTTTCATTGTAGGATTGCTAGAACTCGCGGGTGGACACGGTAAAGCTGCAGGAGGACATGGTAAATAATCTAAAGGTGATCCATTCAAAACTGATGGAGCCTTTCCTTCACCAACGCTATTCCAAACCAATGCTGTGGGACACTCTAATGTTATAACCTAAAATTCAATAATTTCTTAATCACATAATACAATAAATTTCTTCACATAATATTATTAATTCTTATGACAACCAATATAAATGAACAATATAGAATGCATGTCATTTACCTGTATTATAGTAGATAAACTGTAAATTACATCTCTGTGATGTGCACAAGTCAAATAATCATTAAAAGCAACTGTCAAGAGATTTAAAGGTCCTTGGACAGCAACAGTAGTATCCTTACTACCATTAGCTTCATTCTTAGTAATAGATGGACTCTGTGGATTATTGTTGCTCTCAACATTATTGCACATATGTGCCAATTTACGACAGCATAAATATGTCAATCGTCTGGCTAATAATTCAGATTGTATAAACTCTTCCAAATATTGCAGAGCTAATGGTAATAAGAGCTTTAATATGCCATCTTCCGAGGGAGAAGACCTAATCTTATCCAGCAATTCGAGAATCCACTGTAGCAATTCTTGTCTATCCAATAAACCTTCTTCAAACATATATTTAGCCAATTGTACGCAATAATGCCATTGTTTAAGCGCTAATTTATGATCCTCATTCATTGTACTACCTGTTGCAGATTGACTGCTCGAGGTAGGTGTGGATGGTTGATTATTGGCAGAGCCATTGCTTGTGTTATTGCTTGAATTATTATTATTATTAACACTATTATTGTTGCTGTTGTTGTTGCTGCTGCTGCTGCTACTGTTGCTGCTGTTGTTTGTTCCAGTAATCCCATTATTGTTGCAGGAATTGTTTGTCATATTATTATTATTACTAGCAGCTACATGATTGCCCATATGATAGTACTCTTGCAGTTTAGACAATTGATCTTTCAAAAATTTTATGAGAGTTCCTGTCCATTCTGCCATAACAAAAACAATCATATTTTTAATATCTTTCAAAATAAAGATAAATTTTAATTATAATAAAGAAAATAATGTAATAAGTTTAATAAAGATACAAGATATATTAATCCCCATAACAAAAAAAACGTCAGTTACATCATAAAAATCATGGTTATGTCATGGTGATGTCACGATGATGTACAAATATCTTTGTAACGTGTGTTATTTTGTTATGACAATCTCACAGTGGCATCATATTTTCTTTCTGACTATTGTGACTCTATTGTGATCCGAATGTGACTCTTTGCTATAGGGGAATAGTTTAAGTAAACCTTTATATTACTTCTACATATTTCTCAATTACACAATTAATAACAGGTTTTTAAATTAATCAACAGTTTTTTTTATAACAAGAAATAGAATTAGCTCACCTGTGGTTGGATCAGGCAGCTGACGCTTCTTTATCTTAGCTTCTGAGACCGCAACTGTATAAGCAGAACTAAGCTTGATAAACCAAGCTGCTCTCAGCATTGGTACTTGGTACTCACAGAGCATCATAAAAATTTCTTCCTTTTTATTGAAGTTCGGAGCCTTTTTTGCAAGAGCGACTAGCGGCTTGCTGCCCGAAAGATCTTTGAACCATGCTTCAATGCCATTCTTTGTCCTTGCTGTTACTGGCCAAAAATTGTCCTTGGGATTGATCTGCTGTCTCTTCCTACCAGTGTCAGGCATCGTCGCAAGCTCTTCCTTCTTGGCGAGGATTGCGTTGAAATACGCGCCAACTTTAGCAGCAGTGACATTATAATTTCTGCCTGTTCCAGATTCATCTGTTAGTTGGGTCGTAGTTGCCATAAAGCCATGTTTCACATTTGTAAGCGAGAGCTCATCCTCCTTTTGCTTCAGCTCTTGAGGATAGACATCTGGGGGACCCAGCCTCGGCCTCTTCAGCGGCCTTTTCTCATACAATATTCCCATCATGGTACAATTAGACGCGAAGAGATATAGAGTCGTTAAATAATAAAAAATCGATCATGAGCATCGCCAAGCATCAACAACATGAACGGGCCGTCCTGTGTATTAATTACAGAATACGCGCAACGTCACGCAACGTCTATCTACCGATATCGCAGGTTTTAGTTATATTTCTGCGCATTATCACAATTATAACATTTACATCGAGCCGCAATAACGCTGTCAATGTCACCGTATCATCGAGGCAGGATGTATCGTTGAAGTACATGTATGCATGATAGAAGGATCAAAAGCGAGCAAACTGGAGCAAACGTATTTACGTAATTGCACTGCTCATCTCCGTTTTCTCTCTTTTAGAATATCTGCGAATGCGCGCACGAACGTGACTTATCTTAAAAACTGCAAATGTTTCAATCCGTTTTCAACCAGTGTCCACGTACGGTTTCAATTCACGTCAATTCACGTTAGACATGTTTATCGCCATTCGATAATTGAATATCGAATATTCGATATTTTACAGCTCGATATAAAAATATCGAAAAAATTCAGGATAATGTAGGATTCACCCTGTATATGGTCTCCGATGGACGATGATACCAATAACAGAATTCGGTTCTAGTTAACGTCATTTTTATCTGCATATACTTTGTAAGTTGCATATTACGATTATCCGTCGTCAGACGAAAAAGTTAAATCTTGACGAACATTTTCATACGACAAGCATCATCGTACGACAAAATATTACTAGCTGAAATATCTAGAAAACAAGCTCTCCTATTGGATATCGGACGTCGCACGTCGGATGTATGCAGTGTGAATCCTACATTAAGCTGATTCTACATTATGCTGGATTCACCCTGCATCCGATTTTCGTCGTAAAAAAAAGCAACCAATCAGAAAACAGGATTCCGATGAATTTTGCTTCGTATTATAGGAATCCTGTTTTCTGATTGGATGCCGAGCGTCATACGATGAAAATCGGATGCAATGTGAATCCAGCATTAGTCGCATCGCAGCGTCGCAAGCGTTGCGGTCCAATAAACGTCAAGTTAGCTCGACTCTGATTGGACTGCAACGCTTGCGACACACTTGCGACGCTGCGATGCGATCAATGCAGAACCAGCTTTAGTCACCAATAGTCACCAAAGGTTCGTTCGTACCATAGCTTCTACTCACTCCAATGTACTTATTGGAGTGAGTAGGAGCTATAGTAGGAGCAGGTTGGAACATGCGACGCGAACAAACCTCGAGATATTCCGATACTCGTTCTCGCGGCCGCAGATAGTCTCGTACTTCATGACGTGTCATGGCAGCCCTCGAGATGTGATACGAGTTTGACTCGCGACAACGTTTCGCGCAATTCCACGCAGCGAGAGCAAGCGAGAGATAAAAAGAAACCCGAAGACGTGCGTGGCATATGATGCGATCGGGTGCTTTCATGTAGGAGAATACGTTTCACGGAAAAAACACGAGCGGTACGACAAACGTTTATAAAAAGACCTGGTGATTGTGATGACAACAGCGATGGGAACGATGACGGTGATTTTCTACACGCTGTGCGCGTTCCACGGCGTTGTGGCGTTCTATTTACCTGGTCTGGCGCCCGTGAATTATTGTAAGGTCGGCGAGACCACACCAACCTGCAAGGTATATAGCGTGAGAAATTAAAGGCGATCAGTTCAATCAGTTGATTGGTCAGTCGGTTGGTTATGATCGACGGGATGTCGATTATGGCTACGTTTACACCGTACGTTTAGTCCGCGGCCTATACACCAAATTCGACCTTATTTAGGTCACATTATTAGGCCGCATGCTGTAAACACTACTATACCTGACCCGATCTGTTGTAGGTCAGCCTGGATTTTTTAGCGCCCTCACCTAAAATAAGTCGTCTACTTTCTCGGTGTAAACGCGTGACTGATCCGATCTAAAAGCTTCGTAGTCATTTGCTCGGTAGGACACTGCTGTTTTGTTGAATAGTTAGGTTAAACCGGTTTGTTATTTACTTCTAGACTGTGAAAAGACTAATTGATTTGTGCAAAGAACATAAATATTAAAAAAAAGATGGAAAAAAGTTCATGCAGCGATTCAAGTTCATAAGTACCAGTGCCTTTGCTAATCAAAATAATACAAATAATAATAATTATTTAGAATACGGGCCTCCCCGTATCTCCGATTTTGATGAAATTGGGCTCATTCGACACGTTTTCACTTAAAATGAAAGAATCTGGCAAAAATGCGGCGGTCGGTCTCGCGAACCGAGATATTAAGCATTAAAGTTCGAGATTTTAGAGGTTAAGATATCTGTCATCCCGACTCAATATAGCGCTATGTATACGTTCTGGCGAGTACAATGCTGTATATGGAAATAATCTGTACAAAATATAATAGATGACTCTAATTCGGACCAGCGTGGACTAAATGTGACCCAACCAATTTTTAAATCCCTTTCAGTGTAAATTGTTGGTGACTAGACCTACTTTGGGTCACGATATAGGTCAGGTCGCTATCAATCGTACGGTGTAAACGTAGCCTATATATATCGTAAATTCACGCTGATATATGTCCACGTCATTAGTCAGTTATATATATATTTTTTGGAAACTGAATTGTACACTTCTGTCTTAATTCGGAAATCCGTTTTATTCTGTGTATAAGTACATTATTATATGTATTTTTATATATATGACAAACGTCATTTTACTATTTCTTTATCTCTATTATTACTTATACGTGTATTGACTTTATACAATATTTTTATATAATTTTATTTGATTTTTATATAAATTTTATAGAAATTGAATAATTTACACGTACACGCGCATGCACATGCATGTACGCACATGTTTGCACGTACGCGCGCGCGCGCGCGCGCTCACACACACACACACACGCAACATTAGTTATTACTTTTCCTTCATGGTATATGTGTTGCCATATATCTTATTATATTATTATATTTCAAGCAGAATTACATAATTTGATACAATATTTATAAATCTTAGTAAACTATAATATTATTAGTTATATTGAGAATGAAACTCTGTAACTCTGTTTTAGTCGGACATCAAACTATATGTGAATCGTTTAAACACTGAGAAATATGTCATACCTTACGAATATAGTCAGTAAGTAATATTATTTTCAGATTCTTTATTATATTTTTTTGTGTATTGTATATTACTTTATTGTAATGTAATAGTTATATAACTGATAATATTTTTTTAAATTCTATTTCTATAATCTAGTTTTGACTTTTGCACGGCAGAAGAGGGACAGTCCCCAGTTGAGAACTTAGGACAGGTTGTTTTTGGAGAACGCATACGTCCTTCTCCTTACAAGGTAGATGCGAAATTCCAAGTCTAATATTCTTTAACTTATAAATTCTAAAAAATAAGAAAAATTAAAATTAATGTTCTACTTGTAGTTGGACTTCTTAAAAGATGTCAAGTGTGCTACTGTTTGCACAAAATTGTACACGTCAAGTGATGAAAATTCAGAGAAAAAGTTACAGTTATTAAGAAAAGCAATAGCAGTCAATTATCAACATCATTGGATAGTTGGTAGAGTATCAAATACATCAACCAATTAATTAAAAATAATGAAGTATTATAAAATTTCTTTTTAAATATTTTGTATTACAATAATTTTTAAGTATTTTATTAGTAGTATATCATAATAAGATATTGTAATTTCAATATTATAAGTTTAATTTATATAATTTTGTATTCAAAAATTGAAGAAAAATGAATGGTTCAATAATTTAACCCTCCGTAAAGCAAGTGGAACATCAACATGGTTCATATATGAATATATCTCATACCCCATGCTATACTTCATCATAAATATTGTATTTTTTAAGAAGTTATAAAAATTCATCTTGCTAAGGTATGTCATACCTCACCTGATTTGCGGAGAGTTAAAAATTTGAAAAATCTAAGTAACAATTTTATAATACGCAAATATGATCTAAATATGCTGCCAGCGTAAATATATTTTAACATGTAAAGAGTTTATAAGAACAAGAGTGTATTTAGTATAATTTTGAAGTAAATTTTCAAGTTATATCACAAAATATGAAAATATATTTGTACTCTAATAACAATAATTAATTGGTTTAATTATTATATAATTGTATTTAGAGTTGCTGTTTCTATTATAACTGGTGGACTGGTTAAATTTTTGTGAAAAAATTGTCCAAATAATTTATTGCTTGAAAAGTTTCGAATTTTGCAATTACACAATTTTTCAATACTTTTAAAATCACTTCGACTTGTTAATGATTCTGTTAATGTTCTGCTTTTATTAGATAATATGCCAGTAACATGGTGTTATCAGTTAGAAGATGAACGACAATATTGTAGCACTGGCTTCCCTATGGGCTGTTATTCAAAAGAATCCAGATCTCAGCAAGATACTTGTACTATACATGTGAGGATGAATTATCAAATTATATTTCAAAATTATGAAAATATAAAATTTAATTTATCTAACGATCTGTCTCTTTGTATACACTCCTAGGGTCCGTACAACAAACCAAAAACTTACTATTTATTTAATCATGTGAATCTTACTATAACTTATCATAGTGGTGGTTCAGAGGAATGGGGATCGTCCTTTAAGGAAAACGGTGGTCGTATCATATGTAAGTACTCAAAATTGATCTTTGCTAGTGTTTAATATCACAAATTAATGAATAATAATTGTATAAATGTGATTTTAATAGCTGTAAAAGTAGTACCTCGCAGTATTAAGCATACTAGCCAAATTGATTGTGAAAGTCAAATACCATTGGAGATACCATCCAGTGAGCAGCCATCTGCACAGACGTTCCAAGTAATATATACATATTCTGTTAAATTTGTGGTAAGTCTTCGCAAGTATATAATAATATTATTATGCCCGAATTGCATATCGTCGCCCGATATACGTCGGAGTTCGCCGTCCTCGAAGGAAGAAGCGCGTTGCCTGGCAACAAGCCGTCGAAGCGCTCGGACGTATCTCTTCACCCGCGATCATATATCTTATTCATTGTGTTCCAATACGGAGTGTTCCTGTATTTCTGCTTTAATAAACGTTGCTTGTTTCTTTCATTATATCTGTGTACTTCATTTCGGCTCGGGAGTGCGCGTTCGCGACGCGAGCGAGTTTCCGCGAGACGGCGTACGAACGTAACAATATAAATGATTTTAACGATAATTAATAAAGTTTAATCATTTATTGTATTTATTATTATACAGGGTTGGCAAACGTTACTTTTCAGTTACTTTGTCATTACTTTTTATAGTAAACAATTTGATGACGATGTTGCAATTTTTTATGACGGTAACGCTAACTAAACGCTAAAATTGTACTAAGATTAGAAAAGTAAATTGTCACTATTACGCGTTACACTGAAAAAGTTATAAGTATAACGAGTAACGCGTAACATTACTCGTTACTAAGAAGTAACGCGTTAGAAATTAGGAGTTATTTTTTTCAGTAACGAATAACTTTTTCAATCCATTACAAATAACGATTGACTTTTCTAACTCTAATGTTAGCATTACCATCATAAAAAATTCACAATGTCATTACCAAATCATTATTATAACAAGGTAACGATCAACAAAGTAACGGCGTTACAAGTAACGTGTTACTTGTCAACCCTGTTATTATACTTAAAATTTATTATTATACTTATTATTATTCCAGAAAAATAACACGATTAAATGGTCATCTAGGTGGGATTACATTTTAGAATCGATGCCACATTCGAATATTCAGTGGTTCAGTATTCTTAATTCGCTGATAATCGTTCTATTCCTCTCTGGAATGGTAGCTATGATAATGCTTCGTACTCTGCACAAAGACATCGCACGATATAACCAGGTACCTATATACTTTATTCAGTTGTTACAATTTAATAGCTGTATGTCATTCTTTTTTTTGTAGCTGTGTTCCAAAATTAACTGCCAGTATTGAAAATCTCTAGTGCATGTAATGTAAACTATAGATCTTTAGTACTAGCAGTGAATTTTGGAACACAGCCTATATTATGTTCATTTGCTACATCTATTTTATTTTAAAATGAATGTATAATTGATAAGTGTGTGAATTGTGATCATCTCTGATAATTTCACGATATTTAACAACTGAACATAATCAAAAATAGCCATTTATATCTTTTTTATTCAATTACGGCAAAGCCAAAATGGCCTTTATTTTTTTGGAAACTTCGTCTATACAAAATTTCAAGATAAAATTTAATAAAGTTTTAAGAAGATATTGAGAAGTTGCTGTGAATCAATGTGCCTTGGAAACTAAAAAAAACAAACTTAACCCTAGCTATACACACTTATTTTTCTACCCTTGATATACACACTCAAGTCCTTAGGATCCCATTCATATTTGTAACTAACTTTCATAAAAATGAATATATTTCAATTAATTTTGTTTTTAATCGATGGAGAATTGATTAAGAAACAAGTCTATAATATGTAAAAGTCGATAGAATTAAGGAGCTTCGAGATATATAGATTCAAAGAAAAAGAAAAGTTTAGAAACACTAAAAAAATCTTGATTTAGCAAATTGCACCAAGATTTCTGGGACTCCAGTGTGTATAGCTAGAGTTAAATACTAACCTTTTACTTAAAAAAATGCTTGAATGATTGATTGAAAAATTAATTCGTAAGCACAAAATTAGTCTTGTAAAGCAATAGGTGCATCCAGAAGTGATGACCGCTCACTCAGCAAAAAAGGAATTACTCTATAATTAATATGTTTATTTATCATAATTAGTAACGTGGAATAACGTGTCTATTATAGGTAATCTTTAATATCATATTTCTTACTTATTTATTACTGTTTATTATTTCTCTAATACCATGTTTGGTATACCGTAACGTTATGTAGCGCTCAGTGAGCTGTAGAGCGACTTAAAATTTTTAACAGTAATAAATAAGTAAGAAATATGATATTAAAGATTATCTACTAAGAATAAACACGTTATTCTATATGTTACTAATTATAATAAATAAACATATTAATCATAGATTAATCCCTTTTTTTTGCTCAGTGAGCGCTCAGTGTGCGGTCGTCGTTTCTGGATGCACTCAATGTATGAAAAGGTTTCATGAAAAGGTGAAGGTAACCAAATGTTTTCTTCACTTTTATAAAATTGTGATATCCGTTTGTCTGTGTTGCGATAACGCAGGCCTACTTCCAGATAGAATCAGGAGAAGATGCACAAGAGGAATTTGGATGGAAATTGGTACACGGCGATGTATTCCGCCCTCCGCGCAAAGGAATGTTGCTTTCGGTTTTGCTAGGATCCGGTATTCAAGTGTTCTTCATGACGCTGGTTACATTAGGTAAAAACACACACACACACACTCTCGCGCTCGCACCCCCCTTCCTTTCCTTTTCTTTTTTACTTTACGCTTTCTCATCAGATTTATTAGATTAAATTTGAAATTAATACTTATTTAAGATTAATTGAACTTAAACATTAAAAACTCATTAAATGTTCTTTCATTTCAAATGATAAATTATAAATGTTATTTTAAATTTTAATCAATGCTACAGCATTCGCTTGTCTGGGTTTCCTTTCGCCTGCTAATAGAGGTGCACTAATGACTTGCGCGATGGTGTTGTACGTTTGTCTGGGAACCACGGCGGGATACGTGGCCGCTCGAATATACAAAAGTTTTGGAGGAGAGAAATGGAAGTCCAACGTGTTACTCACATCTATGCTTAGCCCCGGGTAAGACTTAATATTTTTTTAGATAGAATCAATTCTGTTCCTTTAAAAATAAATAAGTTTTTACGAATGTCATTTATATTTGATGTAAATGTACGATATAAAAATTTATTTTATTTTTCAGAATTGTATTTAGTTTATTCTTCATAATGAATCTGATATTTTGGGCAAACGGAAGTTCGGCCGCAGTACCTTTCAGCACTTTAATCGCTCTTTTGGCATTGTGGTTTGGAGTATCCGTACCGTTAACATTTATCGGTGCTTACTTGGGCTTCAAAAAAAGGGTAATTATAAATCAGAACTCGGCACGATTTGCATTTCACAGCCAATTTTCGACTCGGCTCCGCCTTCCGCTACTCTTCTCACTTTATCACCCCGCGCAGTCCATATGATGCTCGTAGACATAGTAAGATCCATCCGCTTTGGGCGCTCACGCTGTAAACTTCATTCTCAATCTTACGCGTTGCTTCATTCCATCTTAGTTATGTAATGAACGAAAAAAAAATAAGTTAAACGAAGTTTACAGCGTAAGCGCCCAAAGCAGGTGAACCTCATGACTACGAGCGTTGTACGCTCCTAAACGTCGACCGGCATTTGGATTGCGCGCGGGGTAATGAGGTGAGAAGAGTAGCGGAAGGCGAAGCCGAGAAGTGCAAATCGTGCCCAGCCCTGTTATAAATTAATATTAAACATTTTAGTATAGTATGTATTTGTAAATAATTGAGATAACACGCCGCAGGCTGTGGAGCACCCGGTACGAACAAATCAAATTCCTCGACAAATACCAGAGCAGAATTTTTACACACAACCAATACCTGGCGTCATCATGGGTGGTGTCCTGCCATTCGGTTGCATATTTATTCAATTATTCTTCATACTTAATTCTCTTTGGTAAGTATTGCATACCTTGATCAAAAAGTTCCCGGAATTCATTCAGAAAATTCAAAATACAAGTTTATTCATCAAAAGTGATATTGTCCCCTTCAAAGTACTCCCCATCGACTGCAACGCACTTATGCCAGTGCTTGATCCAGCTCTGGAAACATTTCTGGAACTCTATTGTCGATATAGCCATCAGAGCCGTCTTCGATTTTTCCATTACTTCTTAGTAGTAGTTTTTTGACTCGATCGAATAGAAAAAAATCGCAGGGAGCCATATCGGATGAATTCGATGGCTGTTGGATGATATTCGTTTCGTTCTTGGTCCAAAAATTTAATACAAACTCGTTGTTGCAAATTCAACTCCATTTTTAAAACTGTAAAAAATCGAAAACACGTGCAGAGGTAGATGTACTCAAGACGACGTAACTTTTACAAATGTCAAGCTATGGCGATAAAATTTGGTGAAAATGTCAATGATAGATGTGGCAACCTAATCAAAAAAACAGAATTCAAATCGGAGCATCACCTGGTGGTAATTCCGGGAACTTTTTGATCAAGATAGTATTAATATTCTTATTAATAAATGTTCTTGACTGAATCATTTTTACTAGGTCAAGCCAAGTGTATTACATGTTCGGATTTCTCTTCTTGGTTTTTCTCATACTCGTCATCACGTGTTCTGAAACGACAATTCTGCTCTGTTATTTCCATCTTTGCGCTGAGGTAAATACAGGCTTTACAGAAAATCATACTTGTGTATTTTTTGTATATGTATTAAACATCGTTATATTAATAAATTTCTTTATAGGATTATCACTGGTGGTGGCGCAGCTTTCTTACATCTGGCTTTACTGCTGTCTACTTGTTAATCTATTGTATACATTTCTTCGTCACTAAGTTAGAAATTGAAGGTGCCACCTCTACGTTCCTGTATTTTGGATATACGTTCATTATGGTTTACTTATTCTTCCTTTTGACAGGTGAATATTCGTTACATGTTTAACTTAATTTTTTTTTTAATGCCACAGTTACCATTGATGGTTAAAAAATAAAATTCATTTTCTTTCAGGTTCCATTGGTTTCTTTGCCTGTTTTTGGTTTGTGCGCAAGATTTATAGTGTTGTGAAGGTTGATTAAATAAAACTGATGATGAGAACAATGCTTGTATGATGAATGTAATATGATGAGTGAAACCAATCGTAATGAGAATGAGTGATAGTCGATATTGTGTAAACCCGCGTTAAAAAGATAAAGGAGAAAAAATCCGTATAATAATAAGCAAATTATAGCGCATCTTCACGTCGTTATTGTTGAGATACATCGTTGCAAGTATCGTCATAAATAATAAATAGTTTATTTTATTAACGCGAAAAAGGTTTAGTTTTCAAAGAGTGGACGTCGATATCGTTATCGACTATCTGACATTCTTCGAAAAGTATTTTCTCGAATAAACGTCTAACATACATAATGTATATTAAACGATGTATGTTTTAGATGTTTGCGAAAATCTGTATAAGCGTCTTGTTTTATTTTTTTCCTTTACTCTCAAAATGCTTCACTTACATCACAAAAGCATTATGTGGTATACAACCATGATACGTTTCAGATCGAATTTTCAATGTGTCACATGAAATCGATTCTGGTCAAATTACTTATTGTTTATTCATTTATTTATTATTGGCATTATTGTGAAAAGGAATTTTTAATAAAACGGAAAATATTAAACGTGTGCACGCGTGCATAATGACATAGAAGTACAATTCGATTCTAATTGCGAAACGCACGTGTCATCCATGTTTTTTAAATTATAAATTAAATACACAAGTAATAAAAATGTACAAATTGAGAACTTAACAATGGAAAAATTTTATGTCTTCTTTTTCACTGTCTACCAAATAAATAACAGCATAATCTTAATATGACATGTGAACAGTCAATATATCCACATATTCTGTACTCGATTTTGTAAATTAAAGTACCTACAATGTTAGCGTTGATAATGTTATTACTGATACAAATAAAACAATCAAATGAGTTTATATGCACATTTGCAATAAATTTAAATGATCGTATTCTATTTTGCGCGATATTTCATTACTAATTTATTAAATGCAGTTCTATGATTGTACAGCAAATTAAATAACGACAATAATGTAGGCGATTATTTATTTTAAGCATAAATGTATTTACTCATCATTGTTTTCAATTTTTCGTCATAGGTGAGTAACAAATTCTCCAATAAGTGTATTATAAAAAGAAAAGCGATAAATGTATCTATGTATACGCTTATACAAAAGCGTGTTTTCATCATTTTTAGGATTTATTAATAATTTTACATGTCACACCCCACGAAATATTGATTATATTTACAGACATGTCTTCGTCTTGCTCTAGTCTATATTAATGGTTAACACTGACGCGACGCTTCCTGATGTAGTCACTATCAAAGTCGAATGGTTGGCAATTGTTGAGCTCGACGCAACCAAAGCAGACCTCGAAAAATATTTAACGCAGAGACAAACTTCGTTTTTCATCCATCAATAATGTCCAACAATAATGTCTTCATAGAAATGCTTTTCTGCGTTTTGGGCGACAGTGTTTTCCATCCAAACTATATGTGTCATATGATTTCATTTCTCCATTCGATCATTGTGTCGGAGTTCGATTTGTAAAAAAGAAAAACAAGAAAAAAGCGAAGAAATGAACGATTCTCATGAATGCCAATCTATTCCACATTCAATAATGTGTCTCATCTATTTTCTTCAAAGAGGTTCCCACGTTGTAAAGTTATTCCGTGGATGCTGCGTTTCAACGTGAGAGTGAATTGGTATTATCTGCCACGAACGGTTGACACAAATACAGAACCACTATCACGTCTAGAGTTATTGGCTCTCTGTGGGATAAATAAATGTTGACCTGTAAGAAGTATGGTTTAATTCTGATATTCGAGGAAAGGGAACAAGGAGTTGAAAGGATGTTTAATAGTCATGCATTGAATAGTATCTGAAATTAAATTTACGAAAAGTAAAGAGATCAGAGATTAAAGAGATGACAACATAAAAGGAAATGCAAAAAAAAATAGATCAAAATGTGAACAAATATCGAAACATAACGTTTCAGATGTTTTTAAACGATTCCAAAAAAAATGTGTCTCTAATAAACAATATAAATCAATAACAAAAAACAAAATTGTGAATTAAAAAACTGAGTGAAGTGGAATAAAGGAAAATTAAATTCAGGAGGGGGATCAGGAAAAGGGAGGAATACATTTAATGTTGCTGATGATATACGCTGATCTCTATTTTCTCGGACTACGTCGACGTCGGCTGTCCCTATTTCTATCGGCACGTCTCATCTCTTCTAATCTGCGCGCGTGTTCTGCCATATGTTGCCGTCGCATCTCCTCCTTCACGACTATCTACAATGTTTCCACATAAAAACATTTATTACCAATTCACTTATTTGTTTTACAGTTTGTGTCAACCATATATATATATATATATATATATATACATATATGGATTGTAAAACAAATAAGTAGATTGGCAATAAATTTATACATACAAGGTGTCCCAAAAGTCCCTTAGAGATATGCTCGTTTTTGGTTTTGGAGAAAATTTCAAAAAAAAAGACAAAACATAGTTTTCATTTTTGTACTTGTTTATTACTTATTCATTCACACTTATTTATTCAAGTTATCCCCTTCGAAACAAAGTAAGTCCCACTTAAAATATTTTTTTGGAATAACGAATAGTTTGCAATTTGGAATATAATTGCATCTGAGGCTTCAAATAGGACACCTTGTATATAAATAATAAGCACGCACGCGCACGCGCACGCGCAC